TTTGATTTAAAATTTACCGGTTCGGTTATTAATTTTCTTTATTATTTCAATTTTTCGGTTTTACAATGTTCTGCTTTCATAATTTTTCTTTTTTTTTTCTATGTGAAATGTTTAAATTTTTGGATTTTTCAATATTTCGATTTGCAATTTTTCAGTTTAATTAAAAATTTTTAATTTTCAATTTTCGATTTCTCAGTTTCTTAATTTCTCAAGTTTTCATTTCTTCCATATTTCGGATTCGCAGTTTTCCTAGTTTTCATTTTAAACAATTATATAATACTAATTAAAAAAAAAAAATCACTTTTTCGGTTTTACTATTTTTTTCCATTTTTCAATTATTTCTTATTATTAATTCTTAAATTTTTCATTTATTCAAATTTTTGATTTACAATGTGTCATTTCGGTTTTCCATTTTCTTTATTTTTACATGTTTTTGATTTCCCAGTTTGAATTTTTTCAACTTTTTGTTTCTTTAATTTTTCATTTTTTTGTTTCTTCAATTTTACGATATGAAAGTCTTTGAGTTTTCATGTTTAAATTTTTTAATTTCCCGACTTCTGGATATTTCAATTTTTAGATTTTGCAATTTTTCGATTTAAATTTTACGAGTTTTCAGTTTTTAACTTTTCAATTTTTCGATTTAAAATTTACCGGTCCGATTATTAATTTTGTTTATTTTTTCAATTTTTCGGTTTTACAATGTTCTGCTTTTATATCTTTTCTTTTTTTTGTTCTACGTGAAATGTTTAAATTTTTGAATTTTCCAATATTTCGATTTGCAATTTTTCAGTTTAATTAAAATTTTTTAATTTTCAATTTTCGATTTCTCAGATTCTTAATTTCTGAAGTTTTCATTTCTTCAATATTTTGGATTTGCAGTTTTTCTAGTTTTCATTTTAAATAATTATATAATACTAATTGTAAACATTTTTCACTTTTTCGATTTTACGATTTTTTCCCATTTTTTAATTATTTCTTATTAATTCTTAAATTTTTCATTTCTTCAAATTTTTGATTTACAATGTCTCATTTCGGTTTTCCATTTTCTTTATTTTTACATTTTTTTGGTTCTTCAATTTTACGATATGCAGACATTCTAGTTTCCATTTTAAAATGTCTCTGTTTTTAAAATAACAGGAATTGTTTTTTAATCGTATGTAGAACCACATTGTTAATAACAACTTATTAATGTAAAACTTGACCTTCAAATCTAATAATTTGACATTTGTCGTACCAATCACATTTCCCAAAATTTTAAAAATTCCAAATTTTTATTTTTATGGAACAAAATAGATCTTTCATTTCCGTGTGTCCGTCTGTTTGTTTGTCCGCTCTTTGTGTCCATTTTTGTTGGGGGACATATTCGTCGAAACTACTAGACTGATTGTTGTCAAATTGTATGTGTTATGTTATGAATATCGTGTAGATGGTAAAAAGCTAACCAAACTTTATAAAATCATTCCTATCAATGTGGTGACGTCACCTTAAAATTATTCATAGTACCTGATACGATAAGACTGATTTTGGCAAATCACATATCTTCTAAAAAATGGAGGGCGGGTGGGCGGGGCTAGTACTTGCTAAGATAGAACTGAACAATATTAAAAATAGTCAGCCGAATGGAGAAGGGTGGGTGGGCGGGGCTACTTCTTGCTTCTAAGAGTCTGTAGAAAACAGTTAGAAACCCCCGCCCACTTCCTTTCCCCACTTCACCGACTTATTTTATTTACTATAAAATGGGAATTAAATTCTATTTTAACAAGCGGTAGAATCTAAAATTTAAAGCAAAGCCAAAATGGCCCTGGCCACCTGTGCCTATTAACAAAGCTGGATTTTATATTAACAAATAATTAAATCTAGGATTACATTTTTTTAATGTATTTAGTAGGTGTGCTTTAATTTTTATAAAATAAAATAACATATTAAAATCGTTTATCAAATTTTATCCATTTACCCCTCCCAAAAAACTGAAATCTATACTGATAAAATAGAGTCATAAAAATCGTGTAACTCTAGACCAATTTTTATATTAAAACCTGAACGTGCTCGTTGCGCTCGCATTTCAAAATTGTTCAGCAAGACGACTAGAATTTGATTTATTATAATAATCCTACAGACGTCCCTGTGAAGCTAAATTATTCTGAAAAAATCAACTTCGGGAGGGCAAGCGCAATGAATTAACTTTATTTATTTTTTCAAATACTCGATACTTCAATCTTCCTTCAAATTTTCGATTTGCGATTTTTGATATTTAATTTTTTTTGTTTCTCAATTTTTAGATTTAGAAATTCTTTAATATTTCATTTCTGCAACTTTTCGAATTGCAGTTTCTCATTTCGGTTTTTTATTTTCTTAAGGTTTACAATTCTTTGATTTTTCAATTTTCGTTTCTTCAGTTTTTCGATTTGCAATATTTTGGGTTTTGGAGTTCAAATTTTTCAGTTTTTTCATTTTGTATCTTTTAATTTTTTGATATTTAATTTTTAGATTTGCACTTTTTCTATTTTCATTATTTTTTCAAATACTGGCTTTTTCAATGCTTAGATTTTATATTTTCGTTCTATTAATTTTAATTTTTTCAATTTTTTCTTTCTTCAATTTTTCCACTGAGAACTTGCAATTTTTGATTTTTTTTTGTTTCTTCAATTTTACGATATGCAAGTCTTTGAGTTTTCATTTTTTAATTTTTCAATTTCCCAAATTTAAATAATTTTTAGATTTTGCAATTTTTCGATTTGCATTTCACGAGTTTTCAATTTTTCGGTTTTACGATGTTCTGCTTTTATAATTTTTCTTTTTTTTCCTACGAAAAATGTTTAAATTTTTTAATTTTCAATTTTCGATTTCTCAGTTTCTTAATTTCTCAAGTTTTCATTTTAAATAATTATATAATACTAATTTTAAAAATTTTTCACTTTTTCGATTTTACGATTTTTTTCAATTTTTCAATTATTTTTTATTAATTCTTAAATTTTTCATTTCTTCAAATTTTTTATTTATAATCCCTCATTTCGGTTTTCCATTTTCTTTATTTTTACTTTTTTTTTGATTTCTCAATTTGAATTTTTTCAACTTTTTGTTTCTTCAATTTTTCATTTTTTAAAATAACAGGAATTCTTTTTTAATCGTGTGCAGAACCACATTTTTAATAACAACTTATTAATGTAAAACTAGACCTTCAAATCTAATAATCTGACCTTTGTCGCACCAATCACATTTCCCAAAATTTTATAAAAAACCAAATTTTTATTTATATGGAAAAAAATAGGTCTTCCGTTTCCGTCTCTCCGTTTGTTTGTCAGTCCGCTGTTTCTGTCGATTTTTGTTGGATACATAATCGTCGAAACTACTAGACTGATTGTTGTCAAATTTTATGTGTTATGAATATCGTGTAGATGGTAAAAAGCTAACCAAACTTTATAAAATCATCCCCATCAATGTGGTGACGTCACTTTAAAATTATCTATAGTATCTGCTAAGATAAGACGGATTTTGGCAGATGACTGACCTTCTAAGAACGTAGAGGGTGGGCGGGCGGGGCTAGTAATTGCTAAGATAAGACTGAACAATATTAAGATTAGTCAGCTGAATGAAGAAGGGTGGGTGGGCGGGGCTACTACTTGCTTCTAAAACTCTGTAGAAAAACGCTAAACTCAGCCCCGCCTACTTCCTTTCCCCATTTCACCGACTTATTTTCTTTACTGTAAAATGGGAATTGAATTGTCTTTTGACAATCGGTAGAATCTAAAATTTAAAGCAAAGTCAAAAGTGGCCCTGCTCATCGCTCTCTATTAACAAAGTTGGATTTCATATTAAAAAATAATTCAATCTAGGATTACAACTGTTTTTACATGGCAACTATTTTTTAATAAAAATGAAAATACACTTGACAACATCATTAATACGCAAAACGAATAAAAGCGGACCAAGCTGGAGCCCTGGACCACTCCTAAAATAAAATAATCATTTCTACATTCATGTTGCGCACAAAGCGAACACGCTAGCAAAACCACATAGAGCAGATATAACCTAAATTTTCTTTTTTATTTTTGTGCTTTTTATAGCCAAGTGTCAACAAGTTCGCACATCTGGAACATCCATTTCGAGCTCTAACGAAGTGCTTTAACCCCGATTTTCCTTTTGCTGCTCCCAAGTCGACATTCAAGCGCAGAAAACATTTAGAAACTGCATCTGAAAACTTGAAAAGGACTGCGGCAGCTTGCAGTTCTTTCATAAGGTGTCTGAAGCCGTCTGGAAATTCCATTCACCTTGTCGCCAGGACATTTAAAATCAATCTCGTTTTATCTGCATGCATTATCGATGGACGAGATGTTCTAGAACCTGTCTATAAAACGCAAAATCGTTACTTTGTAAGCTCTAATAAGGTTAATAATATTAGTGCAGTAATTATCTAGATGCAAGGATAGCGTAATTGCGTAGTTAAGGTTTGAACGGATGTAGACGATTTGGTTTTGATGATAAATATCAACAACAACAAATCAACTCGTTGTCGTTCAAATAGCGAGTGATTAGAAAGCTTATAGCAACAGGCCAACACAAGTAGTAGAAAAAAAAATGTCGAATAGATGTAGTAGATTTTTTTTTACGTCACCATAGAATAACAAGCATTAAAACGGATTAAACAGAACTAAACCAGAGGTTTTCAACTATTGCGAAATCGTTGCGTTGTTTATATGTACTTTATAAAATTACAACATATACATTTTTCTGACTCTAAAGAAAAATCTTCTGACATTATTATCAAAACAATGCCACCACTTCAACCAGCATCTCTATTTTTATTTTTATTGATTTTTTCCCGTCTTCACACCTCCATGTGGCCAGATATCGACGCAAACAATACCCATTACGCCACAACTCCGATCCACTTCACCTGCACCAAGCAACAGCTCTTTATCTTTTAAAATTACCACTTCCCAGAAAAATATCAAGTACACACTTAAAATCCAGATAAAGCCGCTATATAAAATTTCAGCGACCGATTTCCACCACAAACGTGCCAAAATGTTCGCTCTTGCTACAATCTTCGCCCTGTTGGCGGCGGCCCACGCCGTCGAATTCGAAATCATCAACAACGAGCCCGGCCCTGTGTGGGTGGGAATCCAGGGAAATCCGGGCCACACGCACCTTAACAACGGCGGAGTCATCCTGAACCAAGGACAGAGCGTAAAAACACCCCTTTTTTTGATTTCTCAAGGTTTAATTCCTTCATAGGTCACCCTCCAAGCCGAGGAAGATTGGGCTGGTCGTTTCTGGGGTCGCACCTGGTGCGACGCCGGCAGCAGCCACTGCCAAACCGGCGACTGTGGTAACAAGGTGGAGTGCGGCGGGGCTGGTGGTGTCCCACCGGCGTCCCTGGCCGAAATCACCCTCAAGGGTTGGGGTGGCATCGACTACTACGACATTTCTCTAGTCGATGGTTACAACATCAGGATTGCGGTAAGTGCGATCCTGGAGTGTAGGCACCTTTTTTCAGGAAACAATTTAATTTTAGATGGAGCCGGTCAATGGGCAAGGAGATGGTAGCGAGTACAGTTGCAAGAGGTGCGCTTGTGCTACCAACATCAACGATATCTGTCCCGGGGAACTGGTTGTTCGTAATGGGGAAGGGTACAACATTGCTTGTAATTCCGCTTGTCTTGCTTTCAATACCGACGAGTACTGTTGCCGTGGAGACCATGGTACTCCCGAGACGTGCAGGTCTTCTGATTGGCCCGTGGACTACCCCTCCTTCTTTAAAAGCAACTGCCCGGATGCTTACAGCTACGCTTACGATGACCACAAGAGTACTTTTACTTGTATTGCCGAGAAGTACGTCGTCACTTTTGGTTAAGTGCTGATTGATGAGAGCGTCAAAACAAGATCAAATTATTGTGTTCTAAAATGCTTCGTAATAAAATATTTTCTAGAAAACAATGAGTCATTATTATTGTGGTTAGTTTTTTTCGTGAATGTTGCGCACTTAAGTACTGATTTTGTGAAGGTACTTAAGTACTGTGAATGTGGAGTACTTATCCTTGAAAAACTGCCTCATAATACTCGCAGACAATTAAAAATCTTATCATGTTATACATCAAGCAGTATGTTAATATATTTTTTTGTGATCCTTGGATTATATTGAGACAATGATAATTTTGGGAAGAGGCTGATGACTAAGTATGATCAAGGAGCAGAAAAATGTGGCGAGTTAAAATCTTGTCGAGCTATCTTTACTTTTTTTTGTTTTATTCGTATTAATAAATTATAGTTTTTTTTTTCATTGAAGCTCTATAATGCCTTGTTTGTGACAAGCATGTGATATTAAAAAAATTGGTCTAAAGAGTTTAGACAGTACTTCCCTCGCTGTCGGAAACTTGACGACTGCATGCCTATTATGTTTTTTTTCTAATTACATTTTTGTAGTGGGAATTTAAAAAAAAAATGCGATGACGTCATCAACATTTTTGCAAGGACACGTATATCAGTTGGGATAGATGTAGTGTAATACTAAGAATAAAATTATTATATTCTCAAATTTTCGGGAAAATGAATTGGGTCGTTTTGAATATTGATTTGTAATAATCAATAAAATAACGAAACAATTTACTCACGTATACGTATCAGAGGCAACTGAAAATCGTGTATGTATAAACATTCTTAATTTAAGATGACAGGCGTAACAGCATACGTGAGAGTCAAACAGAGAAACTGTAAACAAAACGACCATCGGTTTTATTGCTTCGACTTCCGCTTATTATATAAAACATTGGGTTTTATTTTAATTCTTGACGGTTGTGTTGCCTTTAATTTAATCAATAAAATAAATTGACTTCATTAATTTTTTTGAACCACCTCTTAAGAAAATCTAAAAAATATGAATGGAATGATAAATCACAAGTACAAACTCATCATATTTTTTGCATTTTAGATAGGATTTATTCAGCAAAATTTAAGGGTGACGTCATCAATTTTTTTAGGAGGGATGAACAAATACATTTTGAACAAAAGTTTACCATGCTTATAATAACTTTAAAATATTCCCAAGATTTCAAAGCATTCGGTTTTGTAATTCCTGATTAAATCGATAAAATAAATTCACGCCTTCATTAATTTTTTTGAGTCACCCTGCATATGCAAATCCAAAAATATGAATGGAATGATAAATCACAAGTACAGACTCATCATATTTTGTACATTTTAGATACGATTTATTCGGCAAACTTTTGAGCTGACGTCATCAGTTTTTTGTAGAAGATAACAAAATATATTTTGACTAAAAATTTATTATGCTCTTTATAACCTTAAAACATCTGCAAGATTTCAAAGCATTCGGTTTTGTAGTTCCTGATTAAATCAATAAAATAAATTTACGCATTCATTAATTTTTTTGAGTCACCCTGTGTATGCAAATCGAAAAAATTTGAATGGAATGATAAATCACAAGAAGAGACTCACCATATTTTGTACATTTTAGATGGGATTTTTTCAGCAAAATTTTGTGGTGACATCATAAATTTTTTAGGGGGGACGACCAAATACGTTTTGATCAAAAATTTACCATGCTTATGATAATTTTAAAATATCTTCAAGATTTCGAAGCATTCGGTTTTGTAGTTCCTGAGTAAATCAGTAAAATATATTTACGCTTTCATTTATTTTCTTGAATCACCCTGTATATGCAAATCCAAAAAATATGAATGGAGTGATAGATCACAAGTACAGACTGATCATATGTTGTACATTTTAGATATGATTTATTCGGCAAATTTTCGAGCTGACGTCATCAAGTTTTTGGAGGGGATAAGCAAATATATTTTGACTAAACATTTATTATGCTCTTTATAACCTTAAAACATCTGCAAGATGTCAGAGCATTCCGTTTTGCAGTTCCTGATTAAATCAATAAAATATATTTACGCATTCATTAATTTTTTTGAGTCACCCTGTATATGCAAATCCAAAAAATATGAATGGAGTGATAGATCACAAGTACAGACTCATCATATTTTGTACATTTTAGATATGATTTATTCCACAAACTTTTGAGCTGACGTCATCAAGTTTTTGGAGGGGATAAGCAAATATTTTTTGACTAAAGATTTATGATGCTCTTTATAGCCTTAAAACATCTGCAACATTTCAAAGCATTCTGGTTAGCAGATTAAAAATTAAATTTCAAAATGTTGTTCTATAATTTTGATTTTTTTTCCAAAAATCTGGACGTTTCGGGTGAAAAGTCGATTCGGAGTTGTAAACTACATGTGTAGGACTATGTTATTTTATACAATTGAAAAACCCATTTACTATGTACAATTTTGAAGTGACGTCATCGCATTAGTGGTGGGGATGATTAGACAAATTTTGGTTAGCGTTTTACCATCTACATGATATTCTTAATATAAGTACAAAATTTCACAACAATCGGTCGAGTACTTTCGGAGATTATCTGTCTAATAAAATCCGGGACAACAGACGGACAGACGGACGGACAGACGGACAGATAGACGGAAATGGGAGACCTATTTCTTCGTCTTCTAGGGGTCATGAAAGATCGAGAAAACGTAAAAGTAGAGAGTCGGCCGACGAACTCGATTACAATACTTCCTTTGCTTACGCTCGGGAAGTAAAAATGACAAAAAAAGCCGAGAAAAAAGACAAAAATAGAACAAAATACACAAAATATACAATAGGAACAAAAAGGCCTAAAAAAAAGTGGCCAAGAAGTGCGAAAAAGATAACAAAAAAATCTAGATACAAAAGTCCACACAAAAAGACAAAAAAGACACAGACAAATTTTCCAAAGCGACTAAAAAGCCAAGAAAAACGATAACAAAAAGTCACCCACGAAAAAAACTTAAAAAAAAGTTTTTAAAAAAGCGACTGAAAAAGGCGTTAAAAAAGTGAAAAGGATGGGAAAAAAGTAAAAAAAGTGGGTACTAAAAACGGTGAAAAAAATTAAAGACAAGTTAAAACGAAAAAAGTGACAAAAAAGGCGCCAAAAAAGTGCACCAAAAAGGGATTAAAAAAATGCAAAAAAAAACAGCAGAAAAAAGACGAAAAAAATAGCATAAAAACTAGAATAATACAGACAAAATAATAGTGACAAAAAGGCCTAAAAACTACTTAAAGACGTGGTAAAGAACTGCGAAAAAGATCTCGATACAAAAGTCCACACGAGAAGACAAAAAAATACATAAAAAATCTTTTCAAACAAAGTGCTAAAAAAGCCAAGAAAAAAGATAACAAAAAAGCGATAAAAATGAAATAGAAAGGGAAAAGAAACTACGAAAAAAATTTAGGATAAAGTCACCTACAAAAAAAAAGACAAAGAATTTCCAAAAAATCCTAAAAAAGGCGACTGAAAAATGATGCGCAAAAAGTGAAAAAATATGACAAAAAAGGTACAGATAAGGGGGGACAAAAAACGACAAAGGAGCAAAATATGACGCAAAAAATGGGCCAAAAAAGTCCATCAAAAAATGCTGTTAAAAAAAACGGCGAAAAAAAGGCCGAAACAATAAAACAAAGACAAACAAAATTTCTAAAAACGCCTAAACTACTAAAAAGATGACAAAAAATTAGAAAAATATAACAAAGTTACAAAAAACAACAACAACAAAACGCGAAAGAAACGAAAAAAAATTATACAAAATTTTTAAAAATCGTAAAAACTACAAAAGAACTGTTCAAGAAACTACTAAACAATATGACAAAAGGGCACAGAAAAGTCGCTATAAGTATTACAAAAAAAAAGACACACAATAGATAAGACGACAAAAACATCTGCAAAAAAGTCCCTAAAACAACTAAAAAATGAGAAATAGTTGACATAAAATGCGGAAAGGCCGCAAGAAAAGGCAAGAGCAAAAAAACCTTTAAAGACGAATAAAATAAGTGAGAAAATCCGTGCTTTAAAAACGGTGAAAAAAGGGGACCAAAAAGAGAACAAAAAAAAGATACAAAAATCGAAAAAAAAAACGTTAAAAAACGGATAAAACTGGGACAAAAAAAAAGTTAAGAAAAAAATCAACAAAAGAATGTGCTTGATTTCATTTATATATATTTTTTTTGGTATCAAGTTAATTTTTGTAAAATGGAGTTTCCGTAAAATAAATAAACCTAAACCTAAACCTAAAAACGGTAAAAAAAGCAGCAGAAAAAGAGGCAAAAAATAGAGCAAAAAAAATACAAAGAAAGATTAAAAAGACGACAAAAAATCTACAAAAAAAGTCCCTAAAACGACAAAAAAAATGAGAACCAGTTGATATAAAATGAGCTTTATAAACCTTGGAGGAAAGGCCACAAAAAAAGGGAACAAAAAAGGACAGAAGAGAGCAAAAAACCTTTAAAGACGAATAAAATAAGTGAGAAAAACGCGATTTAAAATCGGTGGAAAAAAAATAGTAAAAATAAGGATACAAAAATTGAAAAAATGTGTTAAAAAAGGCGACAAAAAAAAGAAAGAATGTGATAAAATTTGGGAAAAAAAAGAAATTAGGAAAAAGAGCGACAATTAAAAACGGTGAAAAAAACGCAGCAAAAAAAGACACAAAAAATGGGACAAAAAAATTACAAAATAAGAAAAAAGCGATGAAAAACTCCTAAAAAAAATCGCAACAAAAGATGATAAAAAAAATTAAAAAAGTGTCGATAAAAAAACCATGAAAAGCGTAAAAACTATAAAGCAACTACTTAAAAACTTGTAAAGTGTAACTGTTGTTATGATTTGTAATGGTATATTCCGTAAATAAACTATTATTATTATTATTATTATTATTATTAAAACGACTTAAAAATGACAAAATGGGCGAAAAAAGGTGATAAAGGGGCAAAAGTCCGCAAAAAAGTCTTTGACAACAATGAGAAAACAAAAGTCACAAGGGCGAAAAATGCAATAAAAATAAGACAAAAACAGGCCAAAAATCGACAAAAAAGGCGACAAAGGAGACAGAAAAGCTCAAAAATAAACAAAAGAAAAACGTGCTTTAAAAATGGCGAGAGAAATGGAACCAAAAAGAGGCAATAAAGAAGATGAGAAAAAAAAAGGTAACAAAAAATCCGACAATTGAGGAAAAAAAATGCGATAATAAAGGGCCAAAAAATGTGATAAAAAATAGAAAGGAAGTCCACCCCAAAAAAGAGCAACAAAAAAGTGAGAAAAGCTACAGTGAAAGAAGCGACAAAAAAGTTCTTTAAAAACGGTGAAAAAAGGCAGGAAAAAAGGAGACAAAAATGAGCGAAAAAAATGACAAACAAAATAAAAAAGCGACTTGAACAAGGCGACAAAAAAAGCGAACGAAAAGATGACAAAAACGCGCCAAAAAACACGCTTTGAAAAAGGGGCGAAAAAATGGCGATAAGAAAGGGGCAGAAAAGTGTGAAAAATGGCGACAAAAATGGGACAAAAAACAAAAAAGGCTACAACAATGTCGCTGCAAAAAAGGTAACAAGAAATGGGAAAAGTGACAAAAAAACGCTTAAAAATGGGGGAAAAGGCAACAAAAGGGGGCAAAAAGAGCGAAGACATTGTGTCAAAAAAATATTCAAAAAAAGTGAAAAAAAGGGCACAAAAAGCGTAAAAAACTACAAAGCAAGTACTTAAAATACGACTAAAATCCCGACAAAATTGGCAAAAAAAAAAGAAGATTAAAATTAAGGATCAAAAGAGACAAAAGTGTACGAAAAAGCCTTTAAAATGAAAAAAATGCGGGAAAAAAGAGAAAGAAAAGACAAAAAATTGTCAAAAAACGTACTTTAAAAAAGGGGGAAAGGCAACAAGGGCAAAAAAATCGATAAAAACGCCCTTCAGAAACGACTAATAAAAAGTATCAAAAATGAGAAAAGAAAATGACAAAATAGTGACAAAAACATAGTTTAAAAACGACGAGAAAAATGGGACCAAAAAGAGGCAATAAAGAAGATGAGAAAAAAAAAGGTAACAAAAAAGCCGACAAAATGAAGTAAAAAAATGCGATAAGAAAGGACCAAAAAATGTGATAAAAAATAGAACGGAAGTCCACCCAAAAAAAAAGCAACAAAAAAGTGAAAAAACTTCAGTAAAAGAAGCGACAAAAAAGTTCTTTAAAAACGGTGAAAAAAGGCAGCAGAAAAGGAGACAAAAAATGAGCTAAAAAATGACAAAAAAAAATATAAAAAAGCGACTTGAACAAGGCGACAAAAAAAGCGGATGAAAAGATGACAAAAAAAGCGCCAAAAAACACACTTTGAAAAAGGGGCGAAAAATGGCGATAAGAAAGGGGCAGAAAAGGGTGAAAATGGCGACAAAAATAGGACAAAGAACCAAAAAAGTCTACAACAATGTCGCTACAAAAAATGTAACAAAAAAAATGGGCAAAGTGATAAAAAACGCTTTAAAATGGGGGAAAAACGCCACAAAGGGGGACAAAAGGAGCGCAAAAATGTTGTCAAAATCATATCCAAAAAAGGTGAAGAAAAGGCTACAAAAAGCGTAAAAAACTACAAAGCAAGTATTTAAAAGACGACTAAAAAACGACAAAAGGGGAGAGAAAATGGTGATTAAAATTAAGGCATCAAAAGAGACGAAAGTCTACGAAAAAGTCTTTAGAAAGAAAAAAATGCGGGAAAAAAGAGAAAGAAGACAAAAAAGTGTCAAAAAACGTACTTAAAAAAAATGCGATAAAAAGGCCCTTCAGAAACGACTAAAAAAATATCAAAAATGAGAAAAGAAAATGACAAAATAGTGACATAAAACATGGTTTAAAAAAGGCTAGAAAAATGGGACCAGCAAGGGGCAATAAAAGTGAGAATAAAGGGCAACGAAAAAAGGACAACAAAAAATGTTAGCAAGAAGCAAAACAGCAAAAATGACAAAAAACGCGCTTCCGAAACGGTGAAAAAGGCAGCAAAAAAGGCTAAAAGTGCAACAAGAAGGAGAAAAAATAAGAAAAAAAACATACTAAAAATTAATAATAATAAAATTACGTGGACGTGTTCCCATACTACTTTTGATTCCATGTTGTGTAACATGCAACTTCTAATCAAACGTGAGGAACGTGCTTTAAAAACGGCGAGAAAAATGAAAAAATGGAGTTAAAAAGGGTGAAAAATGCGTTAAAAATTGGACAATAAAAGTGGCCATTCGTCCGATGGACTTGATTACCATACTTCCTTAGCTTATCCTCGTGAAGTAAAAGTGAAAAAAGGTGCCAAAAATTAATCAAAAAAACACTACTAAAGTGCTTGGAAACCGCCTAGAAAATGCGACAAAATGGGCGAAAAAATGGCGACATAAATTAGGACCACCAAAAAACGGCAAAAAAGCCCCTAAATTGACTTTTAAAATTGAGAAAAACGATCCCAAAAAAATGCTCTTTAAAAATGGTGGGAAAAAGGTACCAAAAAAACGGCCCCAAGAAGGGCGAAGAATGCGGTCAAAATAACACAAAGGAACAAAAAAGTTCGTACAAAAATGATTAAAAATTGTAAAAAAATAAAAAAAGATTACAAAAGCCGACAAAAAAAGTGACAAAAACGCGCTTTAAAAATTGGGAAACAAGCAAGAAAAAGGTCAAAAAAATCTGTTTACCAGAAATTAGTCAAAAAAAGTGAATAAAACAAAAAGCGTAAAAAACTACAAAGCAAGTTCTTAAAAAACGACTAAAAAAGACGACAAAAGTGATTTTAAAATGAAAAAAATGAGCAAAAAAATAGATGGTAACAAGTGTCAAAAAACGCACGTTAAAAAAAAGGCGACATAAAAAAACGTACCAAAAATGAGAAAAGAAAATGGCAAAATAGTGACAAAAAAAAAAGCCACAAAAAGGCTAAAAGGGGGACAAAAAAGCGACAGGTATGACAAAACAAGGCGACTAAAAAGTATGAAGAAAACACCATTTAAAACGTGTTCCCATATTCCGTTTCAAAACTAATTTAACAGCCGGGGGCGGTAACCACCCACTAACTTTTCATTCTATGTTGTACACCATCCAACTTCTAATCAAACTTAGCTTTCACCGGCCATAGATGCCTTATTTAACAAGGCAGCTATTACTCGACGAACAAAATTGGTACAAGAGCATACAGAGTATTTCACTAAGTTTGTTCAACCCGTCATTTGGAAATTATATCTTAAAATACGCCGTCGAAATACAAAATTCGCATTTCTACCTCATTAGCATACGAATCCGCCTAGTTGTTTTTTCGCGTCCCAAAAAAATCCTGACGCACGAAAATCCCTCGTCGGTCAATATTTATCAGCGCGACTCCTTTAACTCCGCTAGCAGAAATAATTAAATGATATGTGTTTAACTTAATCTGTTTGAATTGCCATGCTCCTCGCCGATTTCCTGCAACAGATAACACGCCAAGGAAAATACGCCTATAAATAGAGTGGTAAAACACGTTACGGTAGCTTTATCACTAAAAAAGCGAAAACCCAAGAAGCAGCAGCGACCATCGTCCTATATAAGCCGCTCGGCCCACCATCTCCCAGTCTGGGTTTATCCGTCAGCTAATCCGCAAGAATGTTTATTAAAATTGTTTTATTTGCGGCGCTGCTGGCGCTGTGTTGCGCCGTCGAATTCCAAATTCTGAACAGAGAAATCGGCGATATTTGGGTCGGAATCCAGGGCAATCCCGGACACGCTCATCTGAATAGTGGCGGCTTCGTCCTGCGCCCGGGACAGAGGGTGAGACACGAAACGCTAATTAATTGAGAAATAACTCGCCTCGCACCGAGGATTGGTATGTCACTGATAAAAACGCTAAATTCGCCAGGTCTCAGTACACTCCTCTGCCAATTGGGCCGGTCGCTTCTGGGCCAGGACCTGGTGCAACCCCAACACCAGACACTGCGACACCGGGGATTGTGGGAACAAGTTGGAGTGCAACGGAGCAGGCGGGGTGCCTCCGGCGTCGCTGGCGGAAATCACCCTCAAAGGGCACGGAGGGCTCGACTACTACGACGTTTCGCTCGTGGATGGGTTCAACATCATGGTCGCCGTAAGTCATTTTTCACAAAAATTGTTAATCAATCTAAGATATAAATTCTAATTTTGGTAGATCGAACCTCTAGGTGCTAGAGGTGACGGAAGTCGCTACAGCTGCACGAAATCTGCTTGTCAAGTTCGACTCAACGATGTCTGTCCTGATAGGTTGAAAGTCAGGAATTCTCAGGCCGTTATTGCTTGTAATTCCGCTTGTAATGCTTTTAATACTGATCAGTATTGTTGTCGTGGGGCTTATGGTACTCCCGAGACGTGCAAGTCTTCGACGTGGCCTGAGAATTACCCCAAGTTCTTCAAGGATCGGTGTCCGGATGCCTACAGCTACGCGTATGACGATCACAAGAGTACTTTTACTTGTAAAGCTAATGCTTATTTGGTCACGTTTGGAGGTTAAATGAAATAGACTGGATGTTTTCTTGCTTGTAGAAACGTACTGAATACTTTTGTATTTTTTTTACGAAGTTTCAATATATAGATTAATAGCAAAGTGTCTTTTATTTTACCGTTTATAGAGAAAGACACAACAAAACATTTGGAAATATTAAAACTAAGTCGATTTTAGATCAGCTAACAGCTCTTTGTTAGATGAAATGATTTCAGTAATGTCGTTAATGAAAAACAAAAAAAGTAGCCGCCCAAGGTTTGACCCCTGCGGGACTCCTGAAGATGCTACATATCAGATAGGTGTTCCTTATATTTTACACATTCCTTCCGATTGACAACGTATGAACGTAACAAAGGCGATAAAAAGCGCAAAAAATGCCAAAAAAAAAGAAAGAAAGACAACAAAAAATCCCCTACGATTAAAAAAAAATAGAAAAATAAGAATAGGTAACAAAAAAGTGAAAAAAGCAGACCAACAAAGGCAATTAAAAAAAAAGGCGTCGTGACTTCTGTAAAACAAGTTTTATGTTACTATACACCAATAAAGTTTCAATTCAAATTCAAAAATTTCAATTCAAACCGATAAAAGCAAAAAAAGATTAAAAAAGCACCAAAAACGCAATTTAAAAAAACGAAAAATTGTAGATAAAAGTGGAGAGAAAAAAAGATATCAAAAAATGACAAAAACGCGCTTTAAAAATGGAAAAAAGGCAACAAAAGACGGACAAAAAACTGAAAAAAGTAAAAAAAAAGCAAAACAAACTACAAAACAAGTACTTACTTCAAAATCGACTAAAAAACCAGACAGAAAGGGGCCAAAAAATGGCGACTTACATTAAGACAATAAAAGAAACAAGAAATTACAAAAAGGTCGCAAAAAAATCCTTAAAACAACTACAAACAACGAGGAAAAAAGAAACAAAAAGCGCCAGAAAACGCCACTTATAAAACGAAAAAATAAGACAAAGAAAAACGACTACAAGAAAAACCACAAAAATCCAGAAAAAAAAGAAAAGGGGACCAAAAAAAACAGTGAAAAAAGTAGTAAAAAGAAGACAAAAATGAGGAAAAGGGTGATAATTAAAAAAAAAAAAACGCGATAAAAATAAGGCTAAAAAAAACAAACGACAATTAAAATCGAAACAAAAGTTGGGAAAAATGCAATAAAAAGATCCACAAAAAGGGCAAAAACGCGGTAAAAAATTAGGACCAAAAAATAACACAAAGAAAGCGAATAAAGAAGGTAACAAACCAATAATAAAGTTCCTAAAAAACAACCGAAACAAGGCGACAAAAAAGCGCTATAAAATGCCAGTTGCAAAAAAAGCAAAAAATAGGATAAAAATAAGACAAAAGGCGACCAAAAAAAAATCCAAAAGAGGTGACAAAAAACTACCACCAAAAAAGAAAGATAGAAAAATAAAAAACACCAAAAGTGACAAAAAAGGTCCAAAAAGATCGGGGAACAAGATGATAAAAAGCGCCAAAAAACGCCGTTTAATAAAGGTCGAAAATTTGGCGTTAAAAATAGCAAAAAAAGGAGTAAAATTCCTAAAAATAAAAAAAAAAGTGAAAAAAGAGGACAGAAAAGCGACATAAACGCCCCTTAAAAAATGACAAAAAAGACAACAAAAAAGTGAAAAAAGCGAAAAAAAAAGCGACAAAAAGTCAACAAAATAAAAAACTTCACAAGTACTTAAAAATCAACTAAAAAATGCGACAAAAAGCGATGAAAAAACGGGGACAAAAAACCCTTAAAACGATTAAAAAGGCCAGGAGAAAAAATGAAAAAAAAAAAAAACGCCAAAAAACGCCACTTAAGAAAAAAGCTGAAAAAATGGCGTTATAAATACGACACAAATAAGAGAGAAAAAAGTCTCTAAAAAGTGCCCACAAAACGCGTTTTAAAAACGGTGAAAAAAAACAGGAGAAAGGAGACAAAAGGGGGGAAAAGAGCGATAAGAAAAAACAAAAAAAGAGCGAAAACGAAACTTGTGATAAAAATAGGACCAAAAAATGACAAAAAAGAATAAACAACAAAACAAAAAGGCCTTAAAAAAGTGACCAGAAAACAAGGCACCAAAAAAAGCGCAGAAAAGCACCATTTAAGAAGGGCGAAAAAATGGCAATAAAAATAGCACAAATAGGAATAAAGACGTCCACAAAAAGTGTCCAAAAAGATGAAAAAAAGTGGGAAAAAAAATTGGACCAAAAAAAGTAAAAAAAGCAGAAAAAACCCAACAAAAACGCAAAAAAAACTACAAACCAAGTATTTGAGCATCGACTAAAAAAAAGGACAAAAATGCGAATAAAAAATAGAACCACAAAAGAGACAAAAAAGGCCACAAAAAACCTTTAAAACCATTAAAAATGAGAAAAAATGTCGAAAAAAAAGGCGATAAAAATGGTGATAAATACGATAAAAATAACACAAAAAGGGGACCAAAAGGCGACAAAAAATGCGTTTTAAAAACAGGGAGAAAAGGGGACCAACAACAGGGCAATAAAAAAAGGCAAAATAACGAGAGAAAAATATGATAAAAAATTGGACAAAAGAGACACCAAAAAGTCCACTAGAACAAAACAATAAAAAAGTGAGAAACAAAGGGAAAAAGGCTGATAAAAAGGGTTACAAAAACGGCGAAAAATGCGACAAAAAGGCCAGAAAGATGGAAGAAAATGCGATGAAAATAGGACAATAAAACAATTCGATTTTCAATTTTTCGAAATCTCGATCGTCGAGTTTCCGGTTTTTTAGGTCTTTCGAATTTTTGACTTTACAATTTTTCGATTTTTCAATTATCGAGTGTTCGAATTTTAGATTTCTCGGTTTTTTGATTTTTTCATTTTTGATTTTAGGTTTATGATTTCTCGAAATTTTGAATTTCTAATTTTTCGGATTTTCCATTTTTCGAATTTCCGCTTTTTCATTTTTCGAATATTCGATTGATCGAATTTTCGATTTTTGAGTTCCCGAGGTTTCGAACTTTCAAATTTCCGTTTTTCGATTTTCACTTTTTCTATTCTTCGATTTTTGGAAATTTCGAATTTCCGTGTTTTCAGTTTTCGATTCAATTTTAACGATTCATACATTTTTTCAAATTTTCTAGTATTCAATTTTCAAATTTTCGAAATTTCGATCAGCGAGTTTTCGATTTTTCGGTCTTCCGAATTTTTGACTTTACAATTTTTCAATTTTCGAATGTTCGAATTTTCGATTTTATTTTTGATTTTATCTTCACAATTTCCCGAAAAAGTGTCACAAAAACGGCGAAAAATGCGGTAAAAAGGCCACAAAGATGTAAGAAAATGCGATAAAAAATACGAAAATAGAACGAATTTTCGAATTTCCAAGTTTTTAGTTTCCGATTGTGCAATTTAGACGATTCATAGATTTTCCGATTTTTTTATTATTCGATTTTCAATTTTTCGAAATCCCGATCGTCGAGTTTTCGATTTTTTGGATCTTTCAAATTTTTTACGATTTTGCTATTTTCGATTGTTCGAATTTTAGATTTTTCGGTTTTTCGATTTTTTTCATATTTGATTTTAGTTTTGATTTTTTCTTGAACGTTTAAATTTCCGTTTTTTCCATTTTTCGAATAGTCGATTTTCGATATTTCGATTTTTGATTTCTCGAGCTTTCGAATTTTAAAATTTCGCTTTTTCCATTTTCAATTTTTCTATCCTTCAATTTTTGGAAATGTCGAATTTACGTGTTTACAGTTTGTTTTCGATTGTACAATTCTGACGATTTATAAATTTTTTCAAATTTTCTATTATTCGATTTTGAAATTTTCGAAATTACGATCATCGAGTTTTCGATATTTTGACTTTACAATTTTTCGATTTTTCAATTTTCCAGTGTTCGAATTTTAGATTTCTCGGTTTATCGATTTTTTCATTTTTGATTTTAGGTTTACAATTTCTCGAACATTTGAATTTTTAATTTTTCGAATATTCGATTGATCGAATTTTCGATTTTCAGTTTTTCAGTTTTTCGATTTATGGAATTCCAATTTTTCGATTTTTGATTACTCGAGATTTCGAACTTTCAAATTTCCGCTTTTTCGGTTTTCAATTTTTCTATCCTTCGATTTTTGGAAATTTCGAATTTACGTGTTTTCAGTTTTCAATTGTACAATTTTGACGATTCATAAATTTTTTCAAATTTTCTATTATTCAATTTCCAAATTTTCGAAGTTTCGATGGTCGTTTTCGACTTTTTGCTTCTTTCAAATTTTTGACTTTCCAATTTTTCGATTTTTCAATTTTCGAGTGCTCGAATTTTATAATTCTCGGTTTTTCGTTTTTTTTTCATTTTTGTTTTTAGGTTTACCATTTCTCGAACGTTTGAATTTTTAATTTTTCGAATTTCCGTTTTCTCCATTTTTCGAATATTCGATTGATCGAATTTTCGATTTTTCGATTTTCGATTTTTCAATTTTTAGATTTCTAGAATTTCGATTTTTTGATTTTTGATTTCTCGAGGTTTCGAACCTCAATGTCCATTTTTTCGATTTTCAATTTTTCTATCCTTCGGTTTTTGTAAATTTCAAATTTGCGTGTTTTCAGTTTTCGATTGTACAATTGTGACGATTCATATTTTTTTTCAAATTTTCTATTATTCGATTTTCAAATTTTCGAAATTTCGATCGTCAAGTTTTCGATTTGTTGGGTTTTCAAGTTTTTTATTTTTCGGTTTTTCATTTTTGATTTTAGGTTTACAATTTCTGGAACGTTTGAATTTTAAATTTTTCGAATCTTCAAATTTTCGATTTTCGGTTTTTCAATTTTTCTATTTCTGGAATTTCGAATTTTCGAGTTTTGATTTCTCGAGGTTTCGAACTTTCAAATTTCCGTTTTTTCGATTTTCAATTTTCCTAGGTATCCTCCGATTTTTGGAAATTTCGAATTTCCGCGTTTTCAGTTTTCGGTTGTACAATTTTGATGATTCATAAATTTTTTCAAATGTTCTATTATTCGATTTTCAAATTTTCGGAATTTCAACCATCGAGTTTTAGATTTTTTGGGTCTCTCGAATTTTTGACTTTACAATTTTCCGATTTTTCAATTTTCGATTGTTCGATTTTAGATTTTTCGGTTTTTCAATGTTTTCATTTTTTCATTTTTGATTTTAGGTTTACCATTTCTCGAACGTTTGAATTTTTAATTTTTCGAATTTCCGTTTTTTCCACTTTTCGATTTTTGATCGAATTTTCGGTTTTTCGATTTTCGGTTTTTCAATTTTTCGATTTATCTGGAATTTCGATTTTTGGTTATTCTAGAGGTTTCGAACTTTCAAATTTCCGCTTTTTCGATTTTCAATTGTTCTATTCTTCGATCTTTGGAAATTTCGAATTTCCGTGTCATCAGGTTTCGATTGTACAATTTTGACGATTCATAATTTTTTCCATTTTTTCTATTATTCGATTTTTAAATTTTCGAAATCTCGATCATCGAGCTTTCGATTTTTTGGGTCTTTGGAATTTTTGACTTTACAATTTTTCGATTTTTCAAATTTCAATTATTCGAATTTCAGATTTTTGTGTTTTTCGATTTTTGATTTTAAGTTTACAATTTCCCAAACGTTTGAATTTTTTATTTTTCAAATCTTCGATTTTTCGAATTTCCGTTTTTCCCATTTTTCCAATATTCGATTTTTCGATTTTTGATTTCTCGAGGTTTCGAACTTTCAAATTTCCATTTTTTCGATTTTCAATTGTTCTATTCTCCGATTTTTGGAAATTTCGAATTTCCGTGTTTTCAGTTTTCGATTGTACATTTTGACAATTCATAGATTTTGCGATTTTTCTATTATTCGATTTTCAATTTTTTGAAATCTCGATCGTCGAATTTTCGATTTTTCTTTTTTTTCATTTTTGATTTTGTGTTTACAATTTCTCGAACTTTTGAATTTTTAAAAAACGTGTTTTAAAAAAGTTATAAAAAAGTGAGGAAAAAACGGAAACAGGCTAATAAAAAGTGTCACAAAAACGGCGGAAAATGCGATAAAAAGGCCACAAAGATGTAAGAAAAAATGCGATAATAAATACGAAAATAGAAGTTTTTAGTTTCTGATTTAGACAATTCATAGATTTTCCGATTTTTTTATGATTAGATTTTCGATTTTTCGAAAGTCCGATCGTCGAGTTTTCAATTTTTTGGATCTTTAAAATTTTTGACTTTACAATTTTTCGATTTTGCCATTTTCGATTGTCCGAATTTTAGATTTTTCGGTTTTTCGATTTTTTCATTTTTGATTTTAGGTTTGATTTTTTCTTGAACGTTTGAATTTTTAATTTTTCGAATCTTTTATTTTTCGAATTTCCATTTTTTCGATTTTCCCATTTTTTGATTTTATGTTTACAATCTTCCGAATTTTTGAAAAACGTGTCTTAAAAAAGTGACAAGTGAGAAAAAATGTCAAAAACGGGCGAAAAAAGTCAACAAAACAAAAGGCGGCAGAACTGGTCCTTTCAATTTTTAATAATTTAAAAGTTGCTTCATTATTTTGTCCAACTTCTGCAAACTAAAAACGCCAGAAGTGTCTCTAAGCAAAGCAACAAATGAAAACGGAGAATACATAATTTAGCTGCTCCCATTACATTGTCTTTTTTTAGAACCGTACCCATGAATCGCAAATGAGCTGCCAATATTTTTACTTAGGCCAAACCGCCTTTGACGTCAGCCAATGATTTATTGTGACCCTCTGAGGTAAGTTACTACGAATGCAAAATTTTAAATGTAACGGTCCTAAAAGAAAATAAATTTGTGTCGCTTATATGAATAAATAAGTTCTATCTACTGACGCAAGATAGTCCTTAAATCATTTCAAAAAAATTTACAACCTTATTCAATATTTCAATAACTTGGATCCTAAAAAATATATGTATATCATTTAGTATAACATAACTGTAGTCAAGTTTTGAAAGCCAACAATTTTTAAAAATCTTATAAAACACTGATAAGAGTGATACGGCGAAAGCTCTAGTTATCCACGAATAGTGTTATTGCAAAACAAACTAGGTACTCAAATCCTCGAAATATATACATAAAATAATACATACTAATTATTTACGTCAAATTTTTCCTTGTACTGCTGTTTTCAAACAACAATATAATAATAAAATGGTTAACGGCTGATTGTAGCCAGTGTCATCAATCAAGCCAAAACACGATAACACATCCAAATTAACACACCGTATTTAAATTTTCTGCAATTTTTCGCTAAAGTCGCCCTATATATAAATCCGTGGAACCACAAACACTAACAGTTGAGATTTCGTCAACAAACCGTCTACGATGTCAACGAAAACCGTCTTCTTAGCACTGGTGGCCGTCTGCTCTGGAGTAGAATTCCAGATAAAGAACCCAGGCAACTCCGACATTTGGATTGGAATCCAGGCCAATCCTGGCCATCCTCTACTAAACAATGGCGGTTTTGATCTTCCAGCAGGACAACAGGTAAGTACGAAACTTGTACCAAAAGCACCCCAAACTTTGATTTTTATTTAGGTTTCTGTGCAAGCCCCCGAAGACTGGGCTGGTCGCTTCTGGGGTCGAACAGGCTGCGACCCCAACTCCAACCACTGCGAAACCGGCGACTGTGGCAACAAACTGGAGTGCAACGGGGCTGGAGGTGCACCCCCTGCAACTCTGGTGGAAATCACCCTCAAAGGAGACCAAGGGCTCGACTTCTACGACGTTTCGTTAGTCGATGGGTTTAACACCGTAGCTTCCGTAATTAACGTCCTCTTTTCATTTTTTTTTTTACCTTCTAGTGTAAATTTTTACAGATCGAACCCATCGGTGGTCAAGGTGACGGCAGCCAGTACAGTTGCAAGAAAGACGCTTGCTTGAATAACGACGTAATCAATCAGTGTCCAGATGCATTACAAGTTAAGAATGGTCAAGGGACTGTGATTGCTTGTAATTCCGCTTGTAATGCTTTTAATACTGATCAGTATTGTTGTCGTGGGGCTTATGGTACTCCTGAGACGTGCAAGTCTGAGACGTGGCCTGAGAATTACCCCAAGTTCTTCAAGGATCGGTGTCCGGATGCCTACAGCTATGCGTATGATGATCACAAGAGTACTTTTACTTGTAAAGCTGAGACTTATTTGGTCACGTTTGGTGGTTAAATGAGAAGCGTATTCAATACTTATGTAAATATTTTTTACTAAGTTTCGTTTCAATATAGAGATATTAAAAGCAAAGTGTGTTTTCCTTTACTGTCTACAGAGTCCTTTGTGACAACATTATGTTCTTTATTCCACCATTTATTGTTCTTGTCTTGTACTTCATGATTTTTTCATTATTTCAACTCTTTTTTAGAATTTTGAATTCAAATTCCGGTAGACATTTTTATTCTCCGCTTTCTGGGTCTCTAACGAGTAGCCAAACAATAACTAAAATTTGTGTTACCATGCGTACGTCAGGACAAAGAAGCAAAAATCAGTCTTATCTTACTAAGTACTAGCCCCGCCCACCCGCCCGTTATTTTCTCCGAAGATATGCCATTTGCCAAGATCAGTATTATCTTACTAAGTACCCGCCCACCCACCTCCTTTTTTCTCTTGTGTCTTTTTTAGCAGTTTTGAGGTCGTTTTTTATTGTTTTTTTGTCGCCTTTTTTGCTGCTTGTTTTTACTTTTTTTCAATTCGGGTTTGTCCGTCTCTTTCTTCTCATCTTTTCTCTTATATTTTTGTAGCTATTTTTTATGACCGAAAATGTGATGAAGGTGAAAATTAAAGGGCGCATTCTTCAGATTTTTCGGATTTTTGTTTTGTTTAGAGTCCTTGGAATCTTTAAAATTTTTACAAGTTCTAGAATCTTTGAAATATTTGGGACAGCATTTAAAAAATATTATTAACGTCTAAGTCCGTACAGGATTTAAAATCTTTAGAGTCGTTAGACATTTTAAACTCTCTAGAACCCTCAAAGTTCTCAAGTCCTTAGAGTATTTCCAATCTTTGGAAATTTTGGACACTTTAGAATTACTAGAAATATTATAAAGTGTGAAATTTTTAGAGTTTAAGGTCTGTAGAATCTCTCGGTCTTTAGAGTCTTCGGAAACTTTTGAAATTCCGAGATTTTTGGAATCTTTAGGATCTGTAAGATTTATGAGATAATAATTAGGCCTTTAATGCCTTTAGAATTTATAAAAATTAAAGAAAGCATTCTTCAGATCTTTACGATTTTTAGATTTTTGCTTTCTTGAGAGTCTTTGGATTATTTAAAATCTTTGCATTTCAAGTTTTTTAGAATCTTTGGATTTTGGAATTTCTCTAGAACTTTTAGAACCTTTGAAATAATTAAAACAGAATGTTAAAATAACTTTTGTATTTTTAAAATCTTTTGCGACTTTGAGATTTTTAGTCTTTATACTCTAAGAGTATTTAGAGTTTTTGGTCTGTAGAGTCTTTAATCTCTTCAGACTCTTCCGATCTTTGAAAATTTTGGACACTTCGGAATTGCTAGAAGTTTTCCAGAATCATTAGTACTTCCAAGTTCATTAAAATTTTTAAGATTTTGTTGGATCTTTCTTTTATTTAGAGCCTTAGAACTGGAGTGTTTTTAGAATTTGCAATTTCTAGTGTATAGAATCTTTAAGGTCTGCAGAATGTCTCTAGTCTCTAAAATCTTTGAAACCTTCTAAATCTTTCAAACCTTTGGAAACTTTGGAATCTTTAGAATTTCTACTATTTTAAGATTATGTAAATTTTTGAAATTTTGAGATTTTATATTTGGTTTTCTTTATCTTTCGGCATTTTCATAATTCATTTTCATCTTAAAAATTTCTGATTTTCCAAAATACATAAAATGACCAGAATTTCCAAATTTTACAAAATTTATAAACCTCCAGAGTCTCCGAATCTTTGGCAATTTTTGAATCTTTAGGATCTCTAAGATTTATAAGATAATAATTAGGGTGTTCAAGACCTCTAATACTTTTAGAAAAGCCAAAAGGAAAACTTTAGCTATTTTTGTAACTGGTGTTTTTCGTCTTCGGTTTTTATTCGTTTTTTGTTGTTTTTTTGGGGCTTCTTTGCCGTTTCTTGGTCCCACTTTTATAGCATTTTCGCCCTTGTTTTTCTTACTTTTTTTCGCTTTGACTTTTATGTTGCGTTTTTGCCTTTGTTAATATGTTTAATAGGGGCAAAATCACGCTTATCTGAGCAAGTACTAGCCCCGCCCACCCGCCCCCTATTTTCTCAGAATTTGTCATTTGCCAAAATAAGTTTTACCTTTCCAAGTACTAGCCCCTCCCCCCCGCCCTCTATTTTCTCAAACGGTATGACATTTGCCAAAATCACTCTTATCTGAGCAAGTACTAGCCCCGCCCACCCGCCCCTATTTTTTCAGAGGATATGTCATTTGCCAAAATATGACTTATCTTAGCAAATACTAGCAAGAGTACTACCCTCTGAGAAAATAAAGAACGGGTAGGCGGTGTTAGTACCTACTAACATAAGTTTTATTTTTTCTCGTTAAAAAGTGTACAGAAAATTATTCAAAAGAAAAAAACGGCTATAAAAAGGTGACAAAAAAAGCCATAAAAAAGGCAAAAAGTAAAGGCAACAAAATAGAAAAAACGACAAAACATGTAGAAAAATACCTCAAAAAAAAAGACAAAAAAAGTAGAAAAAAGCGCAGTTAAAAAAAGGTGTCAAAAAATCGATCAAAACAAAAGCGACGAAACGCTGCAAAAAATACCTAAAAAAAAAAGTAAAAAAGAAAAAAGCGATCTAACAAAGGCAAAAACGCAACATAAAAGTCGTTAAAAAAAAAACAAAAAAATTTCAAAAATTCCTTCACAAAGCGACAAAAAAGTGAGTAAAACAAGGCTGCAAAAAACGCAAAAAGGGCGAAAATGCTATAATAATAGGACCAAAAAACGACAAAGAAGCCCCAAAAAACAACAAAAAACGAATAAAAACCGGGGACTGCGACAAAAAACATCAATTACAAAAAAGGCAAAAGTTTTTCTTCTAAAAGCATTAGAGGTCTTGAACACCCTAATTATTTTCTTAGAGATCCTAAAGATTCAAAAAAATCCGAAGATTGGGTGACTCTGGAGGTTCATAAATTTTGGAAAATTTGGAAAAATTTAGGAAGTGCGAAAAATGCGGTAGGGGAACGAGGGGCTTGTTGTAACAGTTTTTAGGAAAACGAATATAATTTGGTATCTATTAGCTGTTTGACCATTATAAAAGTATCAATCGGTAGTCTAACTAAAAAAAAAATACTTGCCAAAATAAGACTGATTTTGGTAAATGATATACCTTCTACCATTAATTTTCTTAGAGGGTATCTCATTTGCCGAAATCAGTTTTATCTTGACAGCTACTAGTCCCGCCCACCCACCCTCTCTTCTCTTAGAAGGTATATCATTTGCCAAAATCACTCTTATCTGGACAACAACTAGCCCCGCCCACCCACCCTTTCGTCTCTTAGAGGATATATCATTTGCCAAAGTCACTCTTATCTGGAAAACTTCTAACCCCACCCACCCACCCTCTCTTCTATTAGAGGGTATCTCATTTGCCAAAATCACTTTCATCTTGACAGCTTCTAGCCTCGCCCACCCACCCTCTCTTCTCTTAGAGGGTATATGATTTGCCAAAATCAGGCAGGAATTTTGAATATTTTCTCTAGTGTTTAGTTTGGTTATGCTTTAATGGATTTTTCTTTTGTTGGTTTTGTTTGTGTTTATAATTTATAAATGTCTTATTAAATTTTTTCTCAGAGTATATGTCATTTACCAAAATAAGACTTATGTTAGTAGGTACTAACCCCGCCTATCCGTTCTTTATTTTCTCAGAGGGTAGTACTCTTGCTAGTATTTGCTAAGATAAGTCATATTTTGGCAAATGACATATCCTCCGAAAAAATAGGGGCGGGTGGGCGGGGCTAGTACTTGCTCAGATAAGAGTGCTTTTGGCAAATGTCATACCGTCTGAGAAAATAGGGGGCGGGTGGGCGGGGCTAGCGCTTGCTAAGATAAGACTGATTTTGCCCCTATTAAACATATTAACGAGCTAAATTCCTAAATCTGATTGAATATTTATTTTTTAACAACCCTTATGTCTAATAAAAATCCGGGACGGCAGTCAGATGGACAGACAGACGGAAACGGGAGACCTATTTTTTTGTAATCTAGGGGTCATGAAAGGTCGAGTAAACGTAAAAGTAGAGAGTCGGCCGATGGACTCGATTACAATACTTCCTTTCCTTACGCTTAGGAAGTAAAAAGCAATTAAAAAAGACAAAGTCAGCAAAAAGCCACTAAAAATAATAAAGTCTGTAAAAACTACATATTAAAAAAAAGACAAAAAAAGTAGAAAAAAGCGCACTTAAAAAAAGGTGACAAAAAATCGATCAAAACAAAAGCGACAAAACGCTGCAAAAAATATAAAAAAAAATAAAAAAGAAAAAGCCTAACAAAGGCAAAAACGCAACATAAAAGTCAAAGCGACAAAAAAGTAAGAAAAACAAGGGCGAAAATGCTATAAAAGTGGGACCAAAAAACGGCAAAGAAGCCCCACAAAAACAACAAAAAATGAATACAAACCGAAGACGAAAAACACCAGTTACAAAAATAGCTAAAGTTTTCCTTTTGGCTTTTCTAAAAGTATTAGAAGTCTTGAACACCCTAATTATTATCTTATAAATCTTAGAGATCCTAAAGATTCAAAAATTGCCAAAGATTCGGAGACTCTGGAGGTTTATAATTTTGTAAAATTTGGAAAAATTTAAAAAGTGGGAAAATGCGGTAGACCTAGAAATCTTGAATATTTCGGAAACGAATTTTAGAAATTTTGGAAAATCTGGAAATTCTGGTCATTTTATGTATTTTGGAAAATCAGAAATTTTTAAGATGAAAATGAATTATGAAAATGCCGAAAAGATAAAGAAAACCAAATATAAAATCTTTTTTCAAAGTTTCCAAAAGTTTGAAAGATTTAAAAGGTTTCAAAGATTTTAGAGACTAGAGATATTCTACAGACCTTAAAGATTCTATACACTAGAAATTGCAAATTGTAAATACACTACAGTTCTAAGGCTCTAAATAGAAGAAAGATCCAACAAAATCTTAAAAATTTTAATGAACTTGGAAGTACTAATGATCCTGGAAAACTTCTAGCAATTCCGAAGTGTCCAAAATTTTCAAAGATTGGAAGAGTCTGAAGAGATTAAAGACTCTACAGACCAAAAACTCTAAATACTCTTAGAGTATAAAGACTAAAAATCTCAAAGTCTCAAAAGATTTTAAAAACACAAAAGTTATTTTAACATTCTGTTTTAATTATTTCAAAGGTTCTAAAAGTTCTAGAGAAATTCCAAAATCCAAAGATTCTAAAAAACTTGAAATGCAAAGATTTTAAATAATCCAAAGACTCTCAAGAAAGCAAAACTCTAAAAATCGTAAAGATCTGAAGAATGCTTTCTTTAATTTTTATAAATTCTAAAGGCATTAAAGGCCTAATTATTATCTCATAAATCTTAGAGATCCTAAAGATTCAAAAAATCTCGGAATTTCAAAAGTTTCCGAAGACTCTAAAGACCGAGAGATTCTACAGACCTTAAACTCTAAAAATTTCACACTTTATAATATTTCTAGTAATTCTAAAGTGTTCAAAATTTCTAAAGATTGGAAATACTCTAAGGACTTGAGAACTTTGAGGGTTCTAGAGAGTTTAAAATGTCTAACGACTCTAAAGACTTTAAATACTGTACGGACTTACACGTTAATAATATTTTTTAAATGCTGTCCCAAATATTTCAAAGATTCTAGAACTTGTAAAAATTTTAAAGATTCCAAGGACTCTAAACAAAACAAAAATCCGAAAAATCTGAAGAATGCGCCCTTTAATTTTCACCTTTATCACATTTTCGGTGATAAAAAATAGCTACAAAAATATAAGAGAAAAGATGAGAAAAAAGAGACGGACAAACCCGAATTGAAAAAAAAATAAAAACAAGCAGCAAAAAGGGCGACAAAAAAACAATAAAAAACGACCTCAAAACTGCTAAAAAAGACACAAGTGGAGAAGGTGACAAAAACAGTAATAAAAATGACAAAAAAAACCTACAACAAAGCGACTAAAAAAATGGCAACAAGAACATAAAAAAAGTCAAAAAAAAAACATGATTTGAAAAAAAGCGACAAAAAGTGGTTAGAAAACTGTGTTAAAAGAACGGCTAAAACCCGATAAAAACCAGGACAAAAAAGAGCACAAACAAACGCTAAAAGGTGACAAAAATAAAATTGAGAAAAATAAGATGACAAAAAATGGACGACAAAACGGGAGCAAAAAAATTGTAACAAACAAATGAGCGAAAAAACGTGGTACAAATAGAGAAGTAAAAAACGACCAAAAAAAACTACCTAAAAAAAACAAAAAGGTAAAAAAGGAAAACCGCCACTAAACAAGAAAAAAAGATGCCAAAAAACGCCATTTAAAAAAAGGCGTCAAAATTGACAAAAAAAATGCTATAAAAAAAAGCGACAACAAACGACAAAAAAGTTAATCCAACCGTTAAAAAGTCCACAGAAAATTATTCAAAAGAAAAAAACGGCTATAAAAAGGTGACAAAAAAAAGCCATAAAAAAAGGCAATAAAATAGAGCGAAAAATTGGCGATAAAAAGAGGTTAACAGTCACAAAAAGAAATGGCGACAAAAAAGTAAACAAAATGTCGATAAAAGAAAAAACGACAAAAAATCTAGAAAAATACCCCCAAAAAAAAAACAAAAAAACGTAGAAAAAAGCGAACTTAAAAAAAAGTGTCAAAAAATCGATCAAAACAAAAGCGACAAAACGCTGCAAAAAATACCTAAAAAAAAGTAAAAATGAAAAAAGCGATCTAACAAAGGCAAAAACGCAACATAAAAGTCGTTAAAAAAACCACAAAAAATTTTCAAAAATTCCCTAACAAAAAGGGCGAAAATGCTATAAAAATAGGACCAAAAAACGGCTAAGAAGCCCCCAAAAAACAACAAAAAACGAATAAAAACCGAAGACTGCGAGAGGTAAAAGTTTTCCTTTTGTCTTTTCTAAAAGGATTAGAGGTCTTGAATACCCAAGTTATAAATCTTAGAGATCCTAAAGATTCAAAAAATTCCAAAGGTTTATAAATTTTGTAAAATTTGGAAAAATTTAGGAAGTGGGAAAAATGCGGTAGACCTAGAAATCTTGAAAATTTCGGAAAAGGTTGAATTTTACAAATTTTGGAAAATCTGGAAAATCTGGTCATTTTATGTATTTTGGAAAATTGAGAAAAATAAGACGACAAAAAATGGACGACACAACGGGAGCAAAAAAATTGTAACAAACAAATGAGCGAAAAACGTGGTACAAATAGAAAAGTAAAAAACGACAAAAAACTACCGAAAAAAGACAAAAAAGTGAAAAAGAAAAAACCGCAACTAAATACGAAAAAAAGGTGTAAAAAAACGCCATTTCAAAAAGGCGTCAAAAAGTGACAACAAACGACAAAAAAGTTAACAAAATCCTTAAAAAGTCCATAGAAAACTAGAACAGAATAAAAAAGACTATAAAAAAGATGACAAAAAAAGACATAAAAAAAAGCAAATAGTAAAGGCGAAAAAGACGGGGTAAAAAGTCACAAAAAAATGACGACAAAAAAGTAAACAAAACGTCAAAAATGTAGTGTTAAAGTAAAGGTAAAGAAGCACGCTATGCATATGTTTCAAGTGAGTTTTTCTAATCCGAATTCATCGGCTCATCCCTTCCAATATCTTGATGATGTCATCTGAAAATTTTGTTGAGCAAAGCTTGCTTGAAATTATATTTCATGGCATATTCAATGATACGTATACAAGGTTATCACAAAAAAATAAATTAGTAAGGCAAATTTTACAGTTTATCTTAGATTCTTGGAATTTTAAAAAATGCGTTGCGATATGCAACGTGTTTTCCGCTTTAATAATGTATTTTTCAGATTTATTAAAAAAAAAATGACTGAATCAATTAATTATATTACTGATTAAATTGAAAATGATTTATGTACAGGCGATATAATAGAAAAATAAAATTATCAAAATCCAAGAAAGTGCAAGGTGAGGGAAATCTCGTATAATTCCCAGTTAAGTTTTTGGAAAAAAGTTATTTGATATGGGCACCACAAATATACTGTATGTTCGAATAACTTAGTGTTACTACCACGGTAACAATTTTCATTTTGTGACGTGTTATCTGATAAATGTTATAAATAATTATGTAACCATTTACTGACAAAACTTATCTATTTTTGCAACAGAGTTGATATCAAATCATAAGTGCCAAACAAACAACTATTTTTTTTTTGTAAACTGATTGATTCAGTGCTTTAGATTATTTACTTCCATAGTGTGTTCATGTTTTGGAAGATAATAATTTTTTAAAATTTTAGAAAAACTAGATGATAAGGCAAAAGCTTTAGTTACTCCAGTTTGCATAACAAACTACTCGAAGTCTCAAAATACACATAAAAATAACAAAATGGGTACTAGTGTCAACTCTACTAGAAGCCGAGACGTCACTTACACACATAAATCACTCAAAAAACACGCGTATTTACTGCACTGTATGCAAAAAATGTGTGTGAATCATACGAATAATCATTCAGTGACAATTCATTTTCGAAAAAAAAAATATTTTCCATTTTCAGGATTCAACGATAACATACCAGAAAATTTCTGTACTTTTTGCGCCAAAGTCGCTCTATATATAAATCCACGCAAGTACAACCTACTAGTTAAGATTTTGTTAACGTCGCGATGTTAAGCAAAACCGTCTTTTTAGCACTCCTGGCCATCTGCTCAGGAGTGGAATTTCAGATACAGAACACAGGCAACTTCGACATTTGGGTTGGAATCCTGGCCAACAGCGGCCTTCCTCAACTGAGAAACGGGGGTTTTGACCTACCAGCAGGACAAAAGGTAAGTAGCTACCTTAATTTATTTTTAGGCACCAAATTCGGTTTAGGTTTCTGTACAAGCCCCCGAAAACTGGGGAGGCCATTTCTGGGGTCGAACAGGCTGTAACCCAGGCACCAAACACTGCGACACCGGCGACTGTGGTAACAAGCTCGAATGCAACGGTGCTGGAGGTGCACCCCCTGTAACTCTGGTGGAAATCACCCTCAAAGGAGCAGGAGGAAAAGACTACTACGACGTTTCTTTAGTCGACGGTTTCAACATCGTAGCTTCTGTAATTAACCTACCCTTTTAAATTTTGTATCACCTTCTAATCTAAACTTTGACAGATCGAACCCATCGGTGGTCAAGGTGACGGCAGCCAGTACAGCTGCAAGAAAGACGCTTGTTCGAATCACGACATAATCAATCAGTGTCCCGATCCTTTGAAACTCAAGAACGGTCAAGGGACTGTCATTGCTTGTAAGTCGGCTTGTAATGCTTTTAATACTGATCAGTACTGTTGTCGCGGTGCTTATGGTACTCCTGATAAGTGTAAGTCGTCCACTTGGCCTGTGAATTACCCGAAGTTCTTCAAGGATCGGTGTCCTGATGCCTACAGCTATGCGTATGATGACCACAAGAGCCTTTTTACTTGCAAAGCCGAAACTTATTTGATCACGTTCGGTTAAAAGTGTTGTTCTGTAATGACGTGGAAAAGCAATAATAATTCAATAAAATGGTAGTTCTAATTGCAGTTCTATAAGAAAAAGTGAGAAAAATAGATGACAAAAAAGGGATGAGAACGCATTAAAAAAAAATTGGTCTAAAGAGTTTAGACAGTACTTTCCTCGCTGTCGGAAACTTGACGACTGCATGCCTATTGTGTTTTTTTTTCTATTTACATTTTTGTAGTGGGAATTTAAAAAAAAATTGTGATGACGTCATCAACATTTTTGCAAAGACACGTATATCAGTTGGGATAGATGTAGTGTAATACTAAGAATAAAATTATTGTATTCCCAAATTTTCGGGAAAATGAATTGGGTCGTTTTGAATATTGATTTGTTATAATCAATAAAATAACGAAACAATTTACTCACGTATACGGCGCCGGTGTGTAATATCTAGAGAGCGGATTTCTGTCGGGCTAGGCAAGACCAAACTCGGTACGGCTCGTACGGGATGCGAATTCATTGCGGTTGCGGACTGCACTTCGTTTATTTGAGATTAGAATAACGCTGTTTCGTTGCACTCTGCTGTTAATTCCCGTTCTCATTTACTTAGCCGTTTGATTAATAAATCGTTAATTACATTTATGGAATTAGTACTGATTAAATTCAGTGATTATCTATCACCCGCTACTGAGTCCCGGCGATCCAGCACGTCCCCACCTATAATCGTGACGTAGCCCGACAAAAATCCGCTGTCTAGTAATATGAAAGGCAACTGAAAATCGTTTATGTATAAACATTCTTAATTTAAGATGACAAGCGTAACAGCATACGTGAGAGTCAAACAGAGAAACCGTAAACAAAACGACCATCGGTTTTATTGCTTCGACTTCCGCTTATTATATAAAACATTGGGTTTTATTTTAATTCTTGACGGTGAAATTCACAATTGGTTGATTATAAACATGTCTATTTCACATTCGCGGAACCAAGTGAGCGCATAAAACAAATGCAGGTCTGTAATGTTAAAGTCGATGTAAATAAGCGTGCTACCCTTATGTTTCAACCGAGTTTTTCCTTTAACAAATTTTGTGTCTACCAAATTGGGTTGGTTGGGGTGTAATACTAATAATAAGTGTTGCCTTTAATTTAATCAATAAAATAAATTGACTTCATTAATTTTTTTGAACCACCTCTTAAGAAAATCTAAAAAATATTAATGGAATGATAAATCACAAGTACAAACTCATCATATTTTTTGCATTTTAGATAGGATTTATTCAGCAAAATTTAAGGGTCACGTCATCAATTTTTTTAGGAGGGATGAACAAATACATTTTGAACAAAAGTTTACCAAGCTTATAATAACTTTAAAATATTCCCAAGATTTCAAAGCATTCGGTTTTGTAATTCCTGATTAAATCGATAAAATAAATTCACGCCTTCATTAATTTTTTTCAGTCACCCTGCATATGCAAATCCAAAAATATGAATGGAATGATAAATCACAAGTACAAACTCATCATATTTTTTGCATTTTAGATAGGATTTATTCAGCAAAATTTAAGGGTGACGTCATCAATTTTTTTAGGAGGGATGAACAAATTCATTTTGAACAAAAGTTTACCATGCTTATAATAACTTTAAAATATTCCCAAGATTTCAAAGCATTCGGTTTTGTAATTCCTGCTTAAATCGATAAAATAAATTCACGCATTCATTAATTTTTTTGAGTCACCCTGCATATGCAAATCCAAAAATACTTTTGAGCTGACGTCATCAGTTTTTTGTAGAAGATAACCAAATATATTTTGACTAAAAATTTATTATGCTCTTTATAACCTTAAAACATCTGCAAGATTTCTAAGCATTCGGTTTTGTAGTTCCTGATTAAATCAATAAAATAAATTTACGCATTCATTAATTTTTTTGAGTCACCCTGTATATGCAAATCGAAAAAATTTGAATGGAATGATAAATCACAAGAAGAGACTCACCATATTTTGTACATTTTAGATAGGATTTATTCAGCAAAATTTTGTGGTGACGTCATAAATTATTTAGGGGGGACGACCAAATACGTTTTGATCAAAAATTTACCATGCTTATAATTTTAAAATATCTTCAAGATTTCGAAGCATTCGGTTTTGTAGTTCCTGAGTAAATCAGTAAAATAAATTTACGCTTTCATTTATTTTCTTGAATCACCCTGTATATGCAAATCCAAAAAATATGAATGGAATGATAGATCACAAGTACAGACTGATCATATTTTGTACATTTTAGATATGATTTATTCGGCAAATTTTGGAGCTGACGTCATCAAGTTTTTGGAGGGGATAAGCAAATATATTTTGTCTAAACATTTATTATGCTCTTTAAGTCTTTATAACCTTAAAACATCTGCAAGATGTCAGAGCATTCCGTTTTGTAGTTCCTGATTAAATCAATAAAATATATTTACGCATTCATTAATTTTTTTGAGTCACCCTGTATATGCAAATCCAAAAAATATGAATGGAGTGATAGATCACAAGTACAGACTCATCATATTTTGTACATTTTAGATATGATTTATTCGGCAAATTTTTGAGGTGACGTCATCAAGTTTTTGGAGGGGATAAGCAAATATTTTTTGACTAAAGATTTATGATGCTCTTTATAGCCTTAAAACATCTGCAACATTTCAAAGCATTCTGGTTAGCAGATTAAAAATTAAATTTCAAAATATTGTTTTACAATTTTGATTTTTTTCCAAAAATCTGGACGTTTCGGGTGAAAAGTCGATTCAGAGTTGTAAACTACATGTGTAGGACTATGTTATTTTATACAATTGAAAACCCATTTACTATGTACAATTTTGAAGTGACGTCATCGCATTAGTGGTGGGGATGATTAGACAAATTTTGGTTAGCGTTTTACCATCTACATGATATTCTTAATATAAGTACAAAATTTCACAACAATCGGTCGAGTACTTTCGGAGATTATCTGTCTAATAAAAATCCGGGACGGCAGACGGACAGACGGACAGACGGACGGACAGACGGACAGACGGACAGACGGACAGACAGACGGAAATGGGAGACCTATTTCTTCGTCTTCTAGGGGTCATGAAAGATCGAGAAAACGTAAAAGTAGAGAGTCGGCCGACGGACTCGATTACAATACTTCCTTTGCTTACGCTCGGGAAGTAAAAAAGAAAAGATGTAGCGGAAAAGACAAAAACGTTAAAAAATGCGATAAAAGTAGGATAAGAAACGATAAAGAACCCGCCAAAACGTCAAAAAACTAAAGTCTCTAAAAATTACCAAAGAGACAAAAAAAAAGCGAGAAAAAAAGAAACACCATACAGCGACCAAAAAATTACGACAAAAAAGTGAGAAAAAGTCAAAAAGCGACGAAAATGTCCACAAAAAAACAACAAAGAAGTCTCTAAAACCGACTAAAAACCAAAAAACTGCGACAACAAACGTCAGTTATAAAAAAGTGAGAAAAAAAAGATGACAAAAGAAAGGACGAAAAAAACGTGAATTGAGAAAAAAAAGTAAAAAAAGGCAAAAGAAAGGCACAAAAATTGTAACAAAAAGGGGTCCAAAAATGCGGTTTAAATAGAGAATTAAAAAACACCAATTAATGTTTAAGTCCACAAAAATGACTAAATAAAAAACCAAAAGCGAAAAGAATTCCCAACAAACCAACCAAAAAAGATGTCTAAAGCCGACAAAAAACGCGATTTAAAAAAGACGACAAAAATGCATTTAAAACTGTGATTTAAAGAGGTCAAAACACAACAAAAAGTTCACAAAAAAGACTACAAAGAAAGGCCCTAAAAACGACGAAAAAGACAAAAAGTTCGCAAAAAAAGTCACATAAAAAATGACGATACACAAGTGAGAACGACGAAAAAGTAAAAGAAGTCCAAAAACAAGTCAAAAAAATCTCGAAAAGTGACAAGAAATCGATTTTAAAAAAAGCAACAAAAAGTGGTAAAAAAGAGCGAAAATGTGAAGTAGACCGGCAAAAATTGTTACTATTATTATTGTTATTATTAAAGATAATTTCCCAACGAAGCAGTCCATTAACAGGGAAAGTATAACAAGTAAATATCTCAGATCAGACGATATCGAACAGATATTTTGCTTAACTTTGACACCGGAACTAAATAAAAAGAAATGAAAAAATTACAGACGTAAATATTATGGAAATAAAAAATATGTGGTATAAATAGAAAAGAAAAAAACGACAAAAAAATACCCAAAAACAAAAAGTTTGTGAATTAAAAAACACCGATAAGTCCAAAAAATGACTAAAAACTACCTAGAACGACTAAGGACAAACGTGAAAAAGAATCACAACAAAGCGACTAAAAAAGTGAAGGGAAAAAAGATGCGAAATGGCGATGGAAAAGGTGCAAAAAGTGGCAAAAAATGTGATTAAAAAAGGACTAAAAACGACAAAAAGTTCACAAAAAAATTACAAGGAAACTCTCTAAAAACGACTAAAAAGACAAAAAGGTGACAAAAAGGTCACAAAAAAGGCCACTCATAAAAAAGATATAAACAAAAAGTGACAAAAATTGGCGATAAACAAAAGTGAGAGAAAAAGATCACAAAAACTACCTAAAAATGCGTAAAAAAAAGAAAGTGAAAGTGACAAAAACACGGTGTCAAAAAGGGACAACTGATTTTAAAAAATTTAAAGAGCGAAAATGTGTTTAAAGTAGGACTAAAAAATACGGCAAAAAATTCACAAAAAAAATAGGAAAATTCCTAAAAACAGTTAAAAAAAAAAGAAACAAAAAAGTTGCTAAAAAACGATCAGTTATAAAAAAAAGACAAAAAAAGGTGATAAAAAGTGGTTATATAAAAGTAAGAAAAAAAAAAGACACAAAAAAAACGAAAAAACGTGAATTGAAAAAAAAAAGTAAAAGGCAAAAAAAATTGTAACAAAAAAATGTGACAAAAAGGGGTCCAAAAATGCGGTTTAAATAGAGAACTAAAAAACACCAATTAATGTTTAAGTCCACAAAAATTACTAAAAAAACCAAAAGCGAAAAAA